AGTCTGTACACAGAGTAGTTTTTGAGGTGAAAATACGGCCATATTTGTCCATTTGTTATGATGAACCTTAAGTAAAATCTTTTATAGAGAAACCTATACTTTTTAGAATGTTTAGACAAAAGAATCAAATTGGCATTTCCTGAAGAAAGTCGGAGAAAAAGTCATGAAAAAAGTAATCACAGAGAAAAGGTTTCAGGAAAAAAATTACAGGAAATAGTCACAATAATGAAAGTAGTTAATTTGGAATATTAAACTTTTGGATAATTTAAAAAAAAAATTTGAGTAGGATTTTATTAAATTGTTTCTAGAATCTATGACAAACGAAACTATTTCAATTTTGAAATTAAAAATTGTCCACATCTTTAAGCAGCAATATACCAACTGCACCTGTGTATTGAGTATACATCAGTGTCTGAACACAAAAAAAAGAAATGTTTGATGTCATAATCTGTTCAGATATTAAACAATAGATAGAAAATTTAAAGAGTAAATAGAAGTAAGTAAATTATAATAAAATGTAGTTGTTTGACAAGAATTTAGGACAGAAAGTCACAGGACAAAAAGACACAATTAAGTTTTGAGATTTAATTTTTCTTTTAAGAAGAAAAAACTTATTTAAAAACAAGTTTGTATTTTCCATGAACTATAATATATAAACCAACTTTGTAATTAAAATTTATTTGATAAATATCAATAATGATCAAATAATTGTTAAGAAAACAAAATGTCAAAGTGGCTCAATTGGTACCTAAACGGCTTCATGGTGCCAAGAAATATATCATTTGCATGATTAAAATTTAATACATTTTCTTTTAACAAGGCTTATGAACAATTTCCTAAACAGTGAAATGAATATATGTAACATACATTTAAATAATTTTGACAATCTACCAATTGATAAATTACAACACAAGATGTTGAAATCTATTCTGGGGGTCAAAAGACAGTCATCAAATATGGCTAGTAGACTTGAATGTAACAGGAATCCAATGTTGATTTTCTCATTATGTTTAATGTATAACTATTATATGAGACTACTTAAAATAAAAAGAGATAGAATACTATATAGTTCATTTACTGCAGATCAAGAATTATCTCAAGAAAACTCAAAATGCTGGTTTTCTACCATAAATAAAATATTTAAAGTACTATCTTATTATTATAATCAGCAATCTGACTCACAACTACAAAAAATCAAATCTGGAGTTGTGGACAGTAAACTGATGTTTTTCAGTAATATTTTTATTCCAAATTTTGTTCCCTTCTATCTTCAAACCAATCTTACCAAAAATATAAAAAGTAAAATTACACAACTATGTATCAGTGCTCATTGTTTAAATATAGAACAGGGTAGATATAATAAACCCATAATTCCAAGAGAACAACGTTTTTGCAAATTTTGCACTGAAGTTGAGACAAAAGAACATTTTTTGATATCTTGTGATTAATATAAAGTTATAATTAAGGCAAACTTTTTTCCAATCTTAGATCTTAGATTTGAAAGATTCACATAATTATTTTTCAGTTTTTATACGACCGCAAAAAAATTTTGCGATCGTATATTGGTATGACGTTGGTGTCGTCGTCGTCCGGTGTCGTCGTCGCCCGAAGACACAGTGGTTTTCGCACTCTAACTTTAGTTTAAGTGAATGGATCTCTATGAAATTTTACCATAAGGTTCAATACCACAAAAGAAAGGTAGGGATTGATTTTGGGGGTTATGGTACCAACAGTTAAGGAATTAGGGGCCAAAAATAAGCATTTTTGTAACTTCCAGACATCACTTGTGTGTGTTAGTGTATGGATATCTCTGACATTGTACCACAAGGTTCCATATCACAAAGGGAATGCTGGGATTGATTTTGGGGGTAATTGCCTCAAAATTTTAGGAATTAGGAGCCAAAAAAGGGGCAAAAAACAAGCATTTTTATATTGACAAATACTTTAGTACAAAACATAATTTAAAGCAGTGTAAGGGAGATAAATCAAATACATCATTTGAATTACCTCCCTTACACTGCTTTTAAATTATGTATAAAGTAATGGTTAATGAACAATTAAGACAATTTAAAACAGTGTAAGGGAGGTAATCCACATACAACGTTTTGATTACTTCCCTTACACTTCTTTCAAATTATGTTTAAAGAAATGCATATTTATAAAGGAAGACCAGTAAAAATATCTGCAAATGTTGCATCTTTTTTTTTTCACAAAAAATCCATAAAAAGAAATTGTGGGGGGTCAATTTTTTCTCATTTCAGATTTCAGAAATTAAAAAGAATTATTCTTCAAATATTTTTTTTTTCAAATTTCAAATATTGAAAAATTTCAAGAAGTAACCTTTAATTGCACAGTATGGCGCATTAGATTTGTATAATCTTTGACCACATTTATTTATTTGTTATGCCAAATCTGACCGTGTATTTAGATTTTTAATTTTGGGTCCAGTTTTCAAATTGGTCTACATTAAGGTCCAAAGGGTCCAAAATTAAACTTTGTTTTATTTCATCAAAAATTGAATTATTGGGGTTCTTTGATATGCCAAATCTAACCGTGTATTTAGATTTTTAATTTTGGGTCCAGTTTTCAAATTGGTCTACATTAAGGTCCAAAGGGTCCAAAATTAAACTTAGTTTGATTTTAACAAAAATTGAATATATGGGGTTCTTTGATATGCTGAATCTAAACTTGTATTTAAATTTTTGATTTTGGGCCCAGTTTTCAAGCTGGTCCAAGTTGGGGTCCAAAATTAAACTTTGTTTGATTTCAACAAAAATTGAATATATGGGGTTCTTTGATATGCTGAATCTAACCATGTATTTTGATTTTTGGGCCCCGTTATCAAATTGGTCCACATTGAGGTCAAAAGGGTCCAAAATTAAACTTTGTTTGATTTCATCAAAAATTGAATTCTTTGGATTCTTTGATATGCTGAATCTAACCATGTATTTAGATTTTGGATATTGGACCATAATAGGTAAATTAAAAAAATTTAAGTTCTTAGGGCACATTCATTCTGTGTCAGAAACCTATGCTGTGTCAAATATTTAATCACAATCCAAATTCAGAGCTGTATCAAACTTGAATGTTGTGTCCATACTTGCCCCAACTGTTCAGGGTTCGACCTCTGCGGTCGTATCAAGCTGCGCCCAGCGGAGCATTTTATTAAACTTTTAAATCCACAAAATATTACTGAATGTATTTATTTATTCAAATTTATTAGAGATGCATTAGAAATAAGAAACAATTCTTAAAATTATTTGTAAATTGTAATGCATGTATATATATATAGTACATGATCTACATGTGAAACTTTGAAATGTTGTTTTGTATATTATCATATGATTTGTAATGGAGAACACTAATGTACTTTTAGTTATCTTAATAAAGAATCTAATCTAATCTAATCTAATGTAATAAAAATCAGTAAGGGTTCCATGGAACCCAGTGTCTCGCCTACTTTAGCTGTTAGTCGCAGGTTCAACAAAAATGGGGAAACAATTATTAAAAATTTTGCTCTAGATACTATCTTTTGATTATAAGAAGCTTCTGTCCAAGTTTGGTAAACGTCCAGGATGATTTATGAATCTAATAAATGTTTTAAAAAATTTAACTGCAGACTGTATGTAATGTTAACTGGAAGAAAAACTAAGTCCATTTATAAGTAATATACGGAAAAACAGGAAATAAATTTTTACAACATTTTCTTCTAGATAATAGCTTTTGATCATAAACAAGCTTCTGTCCAAGTTTGTTACAAATCCAGGATAGTTTAAGAAAGTTATCAAAATTTTTAAAACTTTAACCACAGAGTAAATGTAATGTTAACTGGAAGAAAAACTAAGTCAATTTCTGAGTAAACTACGGAAAAACAGGATTTATTTTTACAAAATTTACTTCTGGATACTATCTTACGATCATAAACAAGCTTCTGTCCAAGTTTGGTAGAAATCCAGTATAGTTTAAGAAAGTTATTAAAGTTTTTAAAACTTTAACCACAGAGTGAATATTTGTGGACGACGACGGAATGTAGGATCGCTATGTCTCGCTTTTGCGACAAAGTCGCAGGCTGGACAAAAAGAAAATATTCAAAGATCTTTCTCTTGTATATATATATATATATATATATATATATATATGTATATGCTCGGAAAAGGGCCCTTTAACATGTTTAATTGGATTCAATAAATATTCTTATTCTTATTCTGTATATTCAAACAATTGTCACAAATTATTTGTGACTTTCTGTCCTGTGAATTTTTGTCCTGTAACTTTTTGTTCGTTTACCGTTTGACAACCATCTGTTAAAATGTTTAAAAAAAACTTCAACACAATTTTGTTTATAGTCTTGGAATGTTTATTCAATTAAAATAAATACAAACTTAGAAATACCACATCCTTGTATACTAACTTTAGAGAAAAAGAATGGTATTTTTTACATCTTGTATTAAATACTAGTACATACATGTAAGATTATTTATACCAAATTTTGGTTGCGATAATGCATTCTTTTATTTTCTACTCAATAACTATATATGTTGACAAAATTTGTTACCCTATCTAATATGGAGGTTAATTACATATATGATAAAAATGATCATGTTATTTCAAATATTTTGTAACCCTCCTTCCCCATGTATGTAACCATTGTAACCTGATTTCCCATGCATGTAACCATTGTTATCCTCAATCCCCATGTATGTAACCATTGTAACCCTCATTCTCCATGTATGTAACCATTGTAACCTGTCTTTCCCATGCATGTAACCATTGTAACCCTCAATCCCCATGTATGTAACCATTGTAACCCTCATTCTCCGTGTATGTAACCATTGTAACCTGACTTTCCCATGATGTAACCATTGTAGCCCTCATTCTCCCTGTATGTAACCATTGTAACCCTCAATCCCCATGTATGTAACCATTGTAACCCTCATTCCTCATGCATGTAGCCATTGTAACCCTCCTTCCCCATGTATGTAACCATTGTAACCTGATTTCCAATGTATGTAACCATTGTAACCCTCATTCTCCATGTATGTAACCATAATATAACCCTCAATCCCCATGCATGTAACCATTGTAACCCTCCTTTCCAATGCATGTAACCATTGCCATGTATGTAACCATTGTAACCTGATTTCCCATTCATGTAACCATTGTAACCAGCAATCCCCATGTATGTAACCATTGTAACCCTCATTCTCTATGTATGTAACCATTGTAACCTGATTTCCCATGCATGTAACCATTGTAACCAGCAATCCCCATGTATGTAACCATTGTAACCCTCATTCTCCATGTATGTAACCATTGTAACCTGACTTCCCCATACATGTAACCATTGTAACCTGATTTCCCATGCATGTAACCATTGTAACCTGATTTTCCATGCATGTAACCATTGTAACCGGACTTCCCCATGCATGTAACCATTGTAACCTGATTTCCCATGCATGTAACCATTGTAACCTGATTTCCCATGCATGTAACCATTGTAACCTGATTTCCCATGCATATAACCATTGTAACCTGACTTCCCCATGCATGTAACCATTGTAACCCTCAATCCCCATGTATGTAACCATTGTAACCCTCATTCTCCGTGTATGTAACCTGACTTTCCCATGATGTAACCATTGTAACCCTCATTCTCCCTGTATGTAACCATTGTAACCCGACTTTCCCATGATGTAACCATTGTAACCCTCAATCCCCATGTATGTAACCATTGTAACCCTCATTCCTCATGCATGTAGCCATTGTAACCCTCCTTCCCCATGTATGTAACCATTGTAACCTGATTTCCCATGTATGTAACCATTGTAACCCTCATTCTCCATGTATGTAACCATTGTAACCCTCAATCCCCATGCATGTAACCATTGTAACCTGATTTCCCATGCATGTAACCATTGTAACCAGACTTTCCCATGCATGTAACCATTGTAACCTGATTTCCAATGCATGTAACCATTGTAACCAGCAATCCCCATGTATGTAACCATTGTAACCCTCATTCTCCATGTATGTAACCATTGTAACCTGACTTCCCCTTGTATGTAACCATTGTAACCCGATTCCCCATGCATGTGACCATTGTAACCCGACTTCCCCATGCATGTAACCATTGTAACCTGATTTCCCATGCATGTAACCAATAACCTGATTTCCCATGCATGTAACCATTGTAACCTGACTTCCCCATGCATGTCACCATTGTAACCTGATTTCCCATGCATGTAACCATTGTAACCTGATTTCCAATGCATGTAACCATTGTAACCTGATTTCCCATGCATGTAACCATTGTAACCTGACTTCCCCTTGTATGTAACCATTGTAACCCGATTCCCCATGCATGTAACCATTGTAACCCGACTTCCCCATACATGTAACCATTGTAACCCGACTTCCCTATGTATGTAACCATTGTAACCCGACTTCCCCATGCATGTAACCATTGTAACCCGACTTCCCCATGCATGTAACCATTGTAACCCGACTTCCCCATGCATGTAACCATTGTAACCCGACTTCCCCATGCATGTAACCATTGTAACCCGACTTCCCCATGCATGTAACCATTGTAACCTGATTTCCAATGCATGTAACCATTGTAACCCGACTTCCCCATGCATGTAACCATTGTAACCTGACTTCCCCATGCATGTAACCATTGTAACCCGACTTCCCCATGCATGTAACCATTGTAACCCGACTTCCCCATGCATGTAACCATTGTAACCTGATTTCCAATGCATGTAACCATTGTAACCTGATTTCCCATTGATGTAACCATTGTTATCCCAAAACCATATGTATTTTATCATTGTAACCTGACTTCCACATGCATGTAACCATTGTAACCTAACTTCAAAGTGTATGTAATCATTGTAATAGCTCTACCCCTACCTATTCAGTTTGCAGCAGAAATGGTCAATTATAAAGCCGGTATTGCATATCATTTAGTAAAGGTCCATGTGTGTAACCAATGTAACCAATGTAACCATTGCTTCAATGGGGGTAACAAAACAAGATACCTATATTCAGGTGCACATTTTGTGCCATATCTACTTAAAGAGGGCACAATGATATATGCTACTGTAATGCGGTACATTTTCCTATTTTTCATGTGATAAAAAAATAAATAAAGCAAATTCACCTGAGTGTTACATGAAAGTTAATGATTTTGCATCGTTTTCATAGATAGTTTAACATGTTGAGAATATTCTATTTTTAGCATTAGTATTTTCAGAATCGTTTATAAATAGCCTATAAATAGAATATGCATAATTCATGAATCGTGACGTAGGGCGGTCTACCAAACTCCGAAACAGCGGTTACGTCCTGCATCGGCCAGACGCTTTAATAAAAAGCCTTTATCAATGATTCATTGCTTCTCAAATTTAAATGTTAATTTGCACCAGAATTAAGTTACATGGATGATCTCCACCAGACAAACAGGCGTTCTTTTCAATCCAAATGATCTTTTTTTATGTCTATCTTTTTGGTAAGTTGTTTGAAAGCACAGAAAACACAATTAAGCCAGAAGAGTTTTTTTCCCGACAATCACAACTCACTGAGTAAAACCATGGAAGTAATATTGGGCTATTCCAGAAATAATCCATCCCCCCTATATTTCATATATATGGATCAATTAACACAAATAAATTGTGCAATTTGATATCCTAAATTTTATGATGAAATTTAGGGTTTGTCCTATAACATTAACAAATGTCAAATGCCAGAATTTCAGTCACTTCACCTAAATAGTCAGAACATTTACCAATTAACAGATAATTGATACATCATTTATTCAAACACACTTGTTTGTCTTCACAGCAGGAAATTGTCTAATTACCACAACATTGTAGATGACTGACCAGAAATGACCAGCTGTGTAGTATGACTCTACTATGGATTGCAAAATACTGTTACACATAAATAGAATGTTATCAGAATCAGTGGCAAACTGCCTTCTGACTTTTGAATTTACATACAGAAGTTCCCCCTTTTTTGAAATTAATAGTCTTAATACAAGGCAAATTGAGGTACTGGACACATTCTCCAGTTATTTTGAACATTCATTTGCCACTGATGCAGTAATCCGTCCAATCCTGTAATCAAACCATATTTTTTATTTACTTTGCGTGAAGGTTTGACTTACAACATAGTCAACAGTTTCTTCTGTTGTTGAATTATCAAGTTTTAACATGAGTTCTTCCATGTCTTTTATAAATTCACTAATGTTTGATTAATGTTTTGCTTTGCTTGAATAATTTCATATGCAAGAACAGGTATTGTTAAATGACAACAGTTTCCACATCCTCTTCAATGTAATAGCAATTTACTTCTTGATGAATACAATATTAGCATGTACAATTTCCATTGGTTATCTTGTCCAGCTTATCCAAATTAAAGTCTGACAATTTTTTTTTCCTTTCAGTAGCAGACTGTTGTAGGGTCAAAAGTTAATCTGGACTTATTTCCCCTTTTTTCAAATCTTTTGGAGTACTTTTAAATCTACCAGTTACCTTTTCACTACAAGATTACTTACAAAGTCATTAGTCAGGTTGAGTAACCCTTTTCCCTTGAACATTCACTCTTGTGGTTTTGATGAGCAAGCTTTGAAATTGTTAGATCCTGCCTCTATTTGCATAACTACATGTATGAAATGCAACAAAGCGACACAATGTTTACAGTATCCTTGCAAGCCTGCAGGGCACTTGCAATGTGCACTTTCAACTTTATCTGTTCTTTTCTGCAAGACTCTCCAAACACTATATGGTGTTCATGTGTGTACCTTTTGCCTTGCCTTTGTGTAGCAGTATGAAATATTAGGACTGATGGTATTCCACTCTAGTCACCTCAGCACCTGTGAAAAATGTAACATATATATATATAAAAATGAGAATGGAAACAGGGAATGTGTCAACATGGTCAAAGAGACAACATACCGACCAAAGAGCAGAAAACAGGCAAAGGCAACCAATGGGTCTTCAACACAGTATATATATATATATATAATCCCAGCAAGGGAAGAACAAAAATTTGCTCCCGCAAATTTGCAGATTTAACATTGTTGTGCTGATATTTAGAGCAATTATAATTTATTTATATATATATATATATATATATAAAACGTCTAGATATTAGTCAACAATCTTTCTTACGAGGGCGCTGGATTGTTACAAGTAACGATACATGTACACAAAAAATAAACTATATAAACGCCTAAAAAGTGTACAAAACACCAATATTACAAAAAAGGAAACATTAAATGTAAGTATCTATAAATATTTCGGATAACAGATATAATTCATTCATCAGTATGATTATGATGTAAAATGAATCATACCAATCTATTTAAGAATTGTACAAGCGTTGTACGGCTTTAATTGTATAAATTTAAAGATTGTTCTAGTTAAATCAGAATAGATTGATATGATTAATTTTACATCATAATCATACTGATGAAGGATATCTGTTATCCGAAATATTTATAGATACTTACATTTAATGTTTCCTTTTTTTTAATATTGGTGTTGTTTTGTACTCTTTTTAGGCATTTATATATATATATTATATATATAAATAAGGATTCTACAACTGCATCGAGTGTGATACGATGTTTCTACACTCGAGACAGTTAAATTTTCAAATTTAAAACGTGAGGCCTGCCTAGCTTTTTATATATTTAAAATTTTAACTGTCAAAATGGAGAAATATCATATTGCACGAGATTTGGTAGTAGAATCTGTTTCTCTAATGATTTTCAGACGATCTGAAAAATATAATCCTTCTTTCCCAAAGATCTGAAAAAAGATTTGTTCTTTTTATGTAACGTTATCAGACATGGTCGCCTTTTTGGAGTAATCACCACCATTTTTTTTTCCACTTTTAGACTTTGTTAAATTTGCACTTTTCAAAAAATTGTGCAGAATTTATCAGATCTTTCAGGGGCCTAGCTACCTTCTTAATGAAGTGGAATCACAAACTAAAGGGCGAGGGGTCTGGGGGCCGCCTAAGGCCCCCAGTAGGTCCCGGGCAAAGCCCTGGTAGGGGGTCAGGGGGGCGAAGCCCCCCGGAAGCTCCGCATATATAGTGTTTCAAAACAATCACAACCGAAATTAAACTTGGACATTTTTGTTGTGGTTTTTTAATCAACTATTTGTTTAACTTCGAGTCGAATGAAGACTTAATACTGTCGTTTGCGTTTTTTTACTGAAAGCTTTTAAAATCACGGAGATTTGTTCCATATGCTAGTATTTGTATTGAGCAAAGTAGATTTTAAAAAACAAACAATAAACATAAACACAATACTATATGTGGAGTTTCTGTAGTCCAAATAATTATGACGTCTTGGAAGGCTATTTAAAATTTTTGCTTTGACGCCATCCTAAGGCGTCAAAGAAAAAAAATATAATAGCATTTCAAGACGTCATAACTATATTTGGACTAGAGGTTCTGTAACATAAACATCATTGGATACCAAATACTTGGTGGACACATTCTCCAATATTTTGCTTAACATATGTATTTAGATGTTTAAAAATTTTGTGGGTAAACTCTACAAGAGAGAGATGGAAATTTCTAATTTTACGCAGTTAGGAATTTTCGAAGTTGAAATTAATGAACTTTTTCAGAGGGAATGATACTCTTTTTCATGATCTGCGTTTGTTAATTATCCAGCTAATTAACAAATACATATGCGTTCGACCAATTTTGTGGCAATATCTAGATGATAACAGTGAAGATACGTGTATTAAAAGTTTGGTGTATCTTTCGAATAAGAATCAGCAGTTTAGTGTCCGACTCGGACAGAAAATTCTTTTTAAAATTGAATGACCTAATAGTCCAGTAAAACGAGTTAGAATTAACAATTTATTTAAATGCTTTTACAATCAACCATTCGTATAGCCGGCCCATATAGAAATGACTTCGAATTATCGAATCTATTTACAAGATGTGTTTTTTTTTAGTAAAATAAATAAAAACGTAAAACATGTACTGGAAAATGTGTACTTTTTTATAATAACAGCAGTTCCAACTTCTCATCTACTAGTATACAGAAACTATTGATTGATTGAATGGTTAATAATGTCCGGTAGCAAATATTACATGCACACAGGACGAGAATACGTTGACGTGATGTGAAAATGAAACTATTCGTGTTGTCAAGACCTACATACTTAGTCCATTTTGAACTAGTTCACAGGGTAACAGTCATTATTCCCGAATCGATACGAGTTGAAGAGTCTTCGTTCTGGTAAGATGTGTGCTTTTGGCAAAGCGGAAAATAATTATTTTCAAGTTTTTTGTTTAACCCTAAAGGGATTATGTTTTTTTTTGCACTCAAAGCGAGTATACGGTATGGTTGTGGTACCGACAACTATGTGGCTGGTATTTTCTAAACAATGCCTGTAATATAAAAAGTTCCACTACGTTTACCCCAGTTGTATGTATTTATCGTACACATACATGTCTTACAGGATTAAAAATTCCGCTGCATGTGTATTCTTCTTGCTTTTATTCTTTATGTAGTTTTTAAAATGCATACATAGAAAGACCAATTCCTATATGTTAACTTTGTCCCTAAATCTCTCTGTTTTTTTGTTTTTGTTTTTTGTTTTTTTTTTTTGTGAAAACGACGTGGATGCACGTGCTGCCGTGCCTCCGGGTAGCTACGCCCCTGTCTTTGTTTCATATACACATGATATATAAAGAAATACTTGGCATGAATAAAGTTTTATCCTGTCCAGTACTACAGAAAAAATTTCAGATTAAATTTCATCGGCACATTGCATATAAGATAATAACCATCACTGGAAGTTAACCAATCAAATGTTCACCCCTTTTTTTCCTGTGTACAAGCTTTAGTAACCATGTAACCTCAAGTTTCCAAAATATTCTATAGAAACACCAAATAAAAAAAAGAATGGTGCTTTGAAACACCCAAGATATATGTTTATGACTCAGAAATTTTTTACTGCAATGTTTCCTACAACTGTAAGGGAATATTTTTTTGACCCTTTTTCGTATGCAACCGGATGTGATGTACTATGATTTGGTGTTATTACACCTTTTTCTGACATCACAATAGGAAATTCATCTTCGCTAGCCAAGGGTTACAATCCAATTCCCTCCTCTCCACCCTTGGCGGATTGAGATAGAATTTCGGAGACACAAAGAAATCAGAGGTCGACTTGTTATTGGTTGAAACTTGCATTTTTCGCTACATGTATATATTCAGATATCTGGAGGAATTCCATCCAAAACGCTTGAAACTACAAAAATATAGGAACTTTAAAACATTCTTTGAAACTGATAATTAAGTCAAATTAAACTTGAGAAAACTTGAGTGGTTATACTTAGCCCAATTTGGAATTTTACCATTAAGATTGGAAGCTGGAAGATATTCAAACAAAACTCTAGAAGAAAGACAATGCATATTTTGTAACAATCGAGAAACCGAAACTGAGTTCCATTTCATCTTTGATTGCCCTCTATATATTGACTGTAGAATTAACATTTTTGGTGAACTTTTATCTGCACGAAAAATTTCTCAGATTTGAATCATGCTGAAAAATAGAACTTTTTAATAACTTTCCACAAAAGAAAATCATGAAAATTAGCATAATATATAGTTGGTGCATTTCATATAAGATGTCATTTGCTGTATAATCCATAACATTTAAATTATTTATATATTTAATCTAAATATTTGAACATTTATTTTAGAATCAATTGAGAAGTATTATATTAACACTTAGTCCGTGATACTGTATATAAAGTCACTTAATTTGTCAAATAGGTGATTTATAGATCCAATGGGCCGGTGCAACATTGACTGTACAAACTTTGTAATTGTATTATATTTATCGATACATGTTCACAAGTCATTATAATAAATGAATAACTTACTTACTATATATACTGCTAAATAAACATTTTTTAGCAATGAACAATAAAATGCTTCGCTGGGGCGCAGCTTGATACGACCGCAGAGGTCGAACCCTGAACAGTTGGGGCAAGTATGGACACAACATTCAAGCTTGATACAGCTCTGAATTTGGATTGTTATTAAATATTTGACACAGCATAGGTTTCTGACACAGAAAGAATGTGGTCTAAGAACTTGAATTTTTTTAATTTACCTATTATGGTCCAATGTCCAAAATCAAAATACATGGTTAGATTCAGCATATCAAAGAACCCCATATATTCAATTTTTGTTAAAATCAAACAAAGTTTAATTTTGGACCCTTTGGACCTTAATGTAGACCAATTTAAAAAACGGGACTTAAAATTAAAAATCTAAATACACGGTTAGATTTGGAATATCAAAAAAACCCCAATAATTCAATTTTTGATGAAATCAAACAAAGTTTAATTTTGGACCCTTTTGACCTCAATATGAACCAATTTGATAGCGGGGCCCACAAATAAAAAATCTAAGTTCATGGTTAGATTCAGCATATCAAAGAACCCCATATATTCAATTTTTGTTGAAATCAAAAAAAATATAATTTTGGACCCCAACTTGGACCAACTTGAAAACTGGGCCCATAATCAAAAATCTAAACACATGTTTAGATTCAGCATATCAAAGAACCCCAAGAATTCAATTTTTGTTAAAATCAAACTAAGTTTAATTTTGGACCCTTTGGACCTCAATGAAGACCAATTTAAAAAACGGGACCCAAATTAAAAATCTAAAAACACGGTTAGATTTGGCATATCAAAGAACCCCAATAATTCAATTTTCGATGAAATCAAACAAAGTTTAATTTTGGACCCTTTTGACCTCAATATGAACCAATATGATAGCGGGGCCTACAAATAAAAAATCTAAATACATGGTTAGATTCAGCA